CGTTGCCAGGCTCGCATTCCCACCTTGCCGTTCGAACGTAGTAACCTACTTACCCGTGTTTCCTTTCTCGCTCGCCAGCACTTCATTCAATCTCGCACTTGCTCGTCCGCACCTTCACTCTATATCTTTCTCTGTTGTACGCAGTTAGGTCTCCACGTACTTGTACCTGTACCACCGCCTTCCCGCCTGCATCTCGTGGGGTCCCCCGATTGTAATACATTGTGGTGCCGCCGCGCGCTGTCTTGACGCACTCCTCGTCTCAACTCTCTACCGCCGAACATGCCTATCAGACTATAGGGACAAAGAAGATGAATGGCCGCTATCTGATAGCTAGTCCAGAATCGACGTTAACACTATATTGCATATGCAGTCCATCCGACAATGCTGTATTTGCATACTCTGACATGGCGAGTCTGCTGATATACTCCAAATCGTATGCAAGGTGATAGGCAACTGCAGTGACTCTACTGCAACCGCCATCCGAGCACTCAAACCCCGTCGCTCGCTGCGCTCGCCGGGTGTCTCGTGCTCGGATGTAGGTCCCAGCGAGCGGCCATCACAGCATACATAGCTCAGGTAGATTGCGCGAGCCACTCAAGTGCATAAATGTAGTCGAACGTCGTCGTAAAGAGCCTCAGGACGCGTTCGCCATGCATCGACACGCGACGTACCCGCACGAATGACACCGTCTGGCATCTACAGTGACCCACACGCGTGAGAAGCACCCCAATGTCTCAGCTTGCGAACGGGGAAGGTAAAATCGAAGGATTTGATAGAAGGAGCTGCACTAAAACGGCTGCTACCAGCATATTTTGCGTCCGTAGAGCACCGTGGGAAAGACCCCAAATTCTGACCGCCCGTCCGACAAAGCCCTTCCTTCTTTCGTTTCTCGAAGACTCGAAACTTCATACGTCAGGGAACTGCTTGGTGTGTTCCCACCGAGCGACTTGTATGGTACTGATCGTACATGTTGTCCACAGCCAGCTGCCACTCCCTCGTCTCTGCGAGCCGCTTCACCACGGACCGCCTCTTCCTCGCGCCAATTGCTCCATATCCATCTGCGCTGCAGCTCGGTGCTCCGCTCCCGCTATCATTCGAGACACGCGCGACGACTGCTCATCAAGGTCCCGCCGGCGGCGCGACGGTCCTCGATCTCCACAGTATGCTTCGCTATGAAGCAGTATCGATAGTCTATGCATGAGCATGAGTTAGATCGTGTCACCTTGTTGTATGAGTATCAATTGAAGCATACTATTGTTCTCGGCCTACTGCCGCTTTGCATGAATCCTGTTTCATTCGTCGTGCGACAACCGGAGTAGACTTGCTTTCTCCAAGACCGATGGTTTGCGAAAGGCGGCGCGGACATGTGGCATAGCGTTTACAGTACTGTGCGTTAGCACAGTCAATACATCGAGTGCTCGGTTGCAGGGTCATCGACGGCTGCGATGGTGCTTGGAACGTTGGCAGCCTCGGCGCTGGGAAAGAATTCGAGAGAACGGCTGCGATTGCTGACCGAGTGCGGGTATACGAATGCATAACTTAGTCCTCTGTCTGGACAAGTGAGTGGCCTTGAGACCTGGGCGCAAACGGGTATGCCCCTCAGAATACTACGCATCGCAACGTGTGAGGACACTGTCGGGCAGAACCCGAGGCTCTTGGTGTTTGGTAGTGCGGGCCCACGAGTTCCTTCCTCACTGCTTCTCTGATCTCTTCTAGGGCGCTTTGCATTGAGCACAGTCTATGATATGTACTGGAAGCTGCTATGTCTGTCAAGAGTGGACGTATGTGCAATGAAACCGACCCTACGACCGAGGCGGCCAGAGACGAACAACTTCGCCTCGGACACGTCAGCGGTAATGTATGCTTCTGGCTGGTGTTATTCATGGCCTGTATGTCTCAAGTATGTGTATACATCAATTCTACGCTGTCTAGGACCTCGTAGCTGTAGGCTGTACAGAGCTACGAATAAATCTTCATTTTCCGCGCGCTTTTCGCTTGCGTGAAAACACGGCGGGTCACGTGCGGCGAACCCAACCCCCTTAAGCCCATGATTGCTCGCTGCGCTCGCAACAACCCTTGCTGATCCTATCGCACAGTCTACACACAGCCACATCCATCCAGCTCCATGCTGTAAGTGCTCTGACTTACATCCCAGCACTTTCGGATGACCGTAGGATCTCCTTCAAAGCAGCCGTTCCCACGGATAGATGTATATAACGCAGATGGATACACGCACACGAAGACCGCCCACTCGTAGCAGCAGCGTCGTGGTGACGAAAAGGCCTCGATGCCCGTCGTACCTTACATTCATCGTAAGGCGCGGCGCTGGCGCCGATTTTTTTGATGATCATGACGCGGCTGCGTGCGGAGGAATAGGCAGACAAACGACCGGAGTTCATTAAATCACAGTACGCATCTATTATTCACCACCTTACAAACCTTACTGATGCCATTGCGCGCAGTCTTCAGACACTCGCTCCCCACTGGGTCAATCCGTATGCGACTCAATCTCCCTCTCGAAGCAGTCGCTCACACGAACACACGGACAGACGAATACGAACTATCTAATCCCTGGATGCCCTCACTCGAAGACCGCCCCCCTCGTAGCAGCAGCGTCGTTTAGGAAAGAAAACTCCAACGCCCGCTGCGTCTTTTGTCCATCGCAAGGAGCAGCGCTTGCGCCGGTTTTTTTTTTTCTTT